GAATTGCGCAGAAAAGTTCATTTTTTCCGCTTACAACGTGATCTTCACGCCTCGGATAACACTTCAGTGTATCTTGCACCTCGAATGTCCGTACGCAACCAAAGAACAGCGCGAAGCCATGGGCGCATGCTGGAGTTCGGGCGTGTGAAAGATGAGCCCTGTCGTTCTCACTCAGTCAGTGAGTATAGACCTTTCTTTCCAAAAAAGCATGTGCGACCGGTCCCATTTTGAGTGTTCGTGCGTATGGCGCGTGATTTGCTCGCTTTCCATGGCGACGAAGACGCACGTGCTGGGCTCTTCAGGTCCCACTCTGGACTGTGATTTTGCAAACAATGGAAATGTCTGTAGAGATGCAGGTGAAACAAGCGCAAAAATTAGAGCTGCCCGCGAAATTCCTATAAGTTGTGGACGTGTTTATATCTGAAAGACAGAGCGTTGTCTTAAAGGGCGAGGGAGCACAAGCTCACTGTGCGTAACAATTTAGGGGTCATCATTCTTGCGTACTGCGCAATGCGAATTCGTGCCATCATTCTTGCGTACTGCGCAATGCGAGCGACCCTTCTAGCCCTCCATGAACTGGCAGAGCAATAAAGGAGTTGATGTCAGCAATCATGCACATGAAATCGCCATGCTTTTATTGAACCTCACTCTTACAAAAAATGGGCTTTTCCCTGCCCCTCCTACCTACCCCTCCATAAAAAAAAGAGCTTTCACATTTCAAATTTATTTTCCTCTTGCCCGCATTCCATACTGCATGCAACCGTCTCAGGTATGTCAAATAAATGTTTTGGGTAAATAACTAGAATCCTGGAGCAATATATTTCATAACCAGAAGTAAGTGGAAATACTATTGACTAAGAATTGGCCATATTGGACGTCACCGAATAGTAAGAAAATTGGTACGTGACAGTTAATATAATTTATTCGAAACTCACACTCCATCAAACAAACAGCACAGGAAAAGAAGCCTGGAGGATGAAGCGTTGTTCCTCGTGGCCCATTATGGATCCTTGTCTTCATCCTACAATTTCTGAAAATAAAATGCAATATACCTCAATTGCAACATTTGCTCCCTCACCCCGTATCGCATTAACACCCACATCAAGATGAGAATACCAGGGTTGACTCTCTCAGGAATTCATAAGTCGCGATTGATAGCTCAAGTAAAGCTCCCTCAGTCATTCGTGTAGGATATAAAAGCCCCGTTGGCCTCTCAAGTAAGAACTTTCTAAAGAAAGGTTTCTCACTTCTCCTATCCGCGACAATTATTCTGCCAGTAACTCCAACCCTGAGCAAGAACGAAGCAACAAATTAGCTTACACTTCTTCTTGCGGAGGAGGGTAGCGTAGTCTCCGTAGGTGCCAAGACCATAACCGTAGTTCAGGCCGTAGCTGGATAGACCATGTCCGTAGCCGAAGTGTCCGAGACCGTATCCGAGGTGGCCAACGCCATAGCCGTAGCCGAAGGATGGAGCGTGAGCAACGGTGGTGATGGCTGGAGCAGCGTGGTAGGCGGTGGCAACCTTGGTGACAGCTGGGGCTACAGCGTAGGAGGCGACTGGAGCGACGGCGTAGGAGGCAACAGCTGGGGCATGGTGGACAGTAGAGACCCTGGTCACAGCTGGAGCAGCAGCGTAGGTGGCGACCGGAGCAGCAGCGTAGGTGGCGACCGGAGCAACGGCGTAGGAGGCAACGGCTGGGGCATGATGGACGGTAGACACCTTGGCAACAGCTGGGGCAGCAGCGTAGGTGGCTACTGGGGCGACGGCGTAGGAGGCAACGGCTGGGGCGTGGTGGACAGTAGAGACCTTGGTGACAGCTGGAGCAGCGACAGCGTAGCCAGTTAGGGCAGAGTGTCCATAGCCCAGACCATGGCCGTAGCCGAGGCCATAGCCATAGCCGAGACCGTAGCCAGAGCCAAGGCCGTAGCCGAAGCCGAGGCCAGAGTAGCCGAAGCCGAGGCCGGAGTAGCCGAGGCCGCCGTAGCCGAGACCGCCGTAGCCAAGACCACCGTAGCCGAAGCCGCCGTAACCGAGGCCGGTGTAGCCAGCGAGGGCACTGGTGGCCAGAGCCAAAAGAAGGCAGGCGCGGAACTGCAGATGAGAGGCATACAGAAAATAGTCAAGGTCCCAGGCAGACTTGTGCCCGCTACTTGAAAAATAGCAGTGTATTACAATTACAAATTACCGAGCCTGAAATGTAAGTGGTTACAATAACACAATACCGAGTCTGAAATGTAATGGATTATGGTTACAAATGGCCTTCCCTGAAAAGTAACGAATTAATTTACTCGTTAGGTTACACATTTCTGTCACGCTACTTTTCACGCACACTAACCAAATAATAAACCATATAAAATAGCGCAAAAAAGACAGGGGAGCGGGATAATTGCTATCCTTGTTTACTTCATGTCCCTCTCTTTATTGCGCAATTTTGTTTAACTAAGATTAACCAGCTAGCCCAGCAACTTACTTTTAGACTGAAAAAAAGAACAACGCTTACAATTCGCTGTAATGCCGAATCAGAGCGCAGCTTTTGAGGATGAAGAGGGGAGGGTGCGGAGAGGAGGATATGCCCGTTCTCCACCTCCGTACTTTCTTCTCTTCTCTCCTCCTCCTCCATTCTCCTTCCTCCTCCTCTCCTTCTCCCTCTTCCTTCCTTACTCCTCCCTCTCCTCCTCTTCCCGCTTCTTCCCTTCCCCACGCTCCCTCCTCCCTCGTGACGTCACCTTTGACTCTAGTGACCCTCGTGGCGTGATTTCGTGACCTTCATCAAGGCCTTCACGAGTGACCTTCGCGATGTCGCTCGTGACGTCAGGAAGGTCACTTGTGAAGGCCTCGTGAAGGTTACTGTGAAGGTCGTGACCAGGGCTGGGCAGAGATACTCCAAAAGTATTCGGGAATACAAATACTGAGATACACGTGTTTTAAGTACAGAAATAAAGATACTGAGATACAGTTGCCTTTTATGCAACAGGATATCCCTAAGATACTTCTGCGAAAATGGCGAAAAAATATTCCGGAATACTCATGCAGGTACTTATAGAAATAGATTTGTTACCAAACGGTGCTAGGTGGGGAGGTTGTAGATCGTGGAGAATGCAATGGTAATTTATGTTTGAGTTCCTTTTTTGTGTCATATTATGATTTTCCTTTACCTCGAACTCTCTATTTATTATTAATGCCGTTAAAAAAACGTGTCACGCAGTTGACCTAGAGAGTTACAGAACGGTAAAAACTCCATGCCATGCTTGACCAAAAACGTCCGCCCGAAATGAATCCTGTTTTGCCGTGAGGGCGCATCTCGAACTTTTGTAGTATAAGCTTCTAAGTCGCCCATAGTGTGGGGAGATTAAACAACAGGTCACTACTTTTTCTTCACTCAACTCCTTTACAGCGTTCGCTCTGCTAGATCGGAAATAGTGCACGATTTCCGATTGAGGGCTAGTACTATAGGGCTCAGAACGTCGAAATGAAGTTTTGGGGTGTATTATAGGGACAACGAATGTAACGATACACCCTGTTACGCCCTTTCTTCATGAGAGTGTGGAGGGCGTTGTGAGAAGAGTTGATTTTGCTATTCTTGCCCGAAACCTTTTTTAAACCATTTTTTTATATGTCGATGACTGAGATGATTCATGTTATAGGGTGTGTTCATACTAAAAATTACGAAGTAACTTGCGCCAAAGATTTTTTTTTTCCTTTTAAAGTTAGCTTAAAAAATACAACAAATGTAACGAAACCCCTACATCTCGCAAAGTATTGCGATACAAGCGATACATCTTCAATGTATTTCATTTGTGAAATACAAATACATTTTTCAAATGTATCTCGATGCAGAAATACAGACACTCCAACCATCTTAAGATACAATCGCGATACATTGTATCGCGATACCACCCAGCCCTGGTTATGATTTTCGTCGTGACCTTCACGAGTGACCTTCGTTACGTCACTCGTGGCCCTAGCGACCCTTGTGACGTCACTTTGACCCTCGTGACGCTTCACATGTCGTCATATGTGACGTCATTGTGGGAAACGTACAATAACACAAGCACGGTTACGCCGACGGCGACGCCGCTCATGCGGGAAACGGGCGCCGAAGAGCTGCGCTCTAAAATTCTGATTTAAAAAAAATGATAGCATTATTTCTAGTCATACGCCCGCATTATGGTAGCCCTGGTAAATATTAAAATATTGTATTTATGAGTAAGGATGTAGGCGACTCTGTTCACATGTAGGTTGACAAGGCAGCGACAGCAGCAACCTCACCATCCCTCCCGCTAGCTTGCGGCAACCAGAAATGATCCCTGGTATTTTGCTGGTAAAGCTAGTAGTGATCATGCTCAGTAGCTGCGTGTACATTCGCTAGGGGATTCGGAGGTAAGGAACCGATCTACGAAAGCTCCCTTTTGAAACCGGACTTTGAACCGTGAGCGCAACGCCTCAAAGCTTCTGTATCGTGCCTGTAGCTTTGACGTACTGTCAGCTTATGCATGAACGCGGTATACTGTCGTACATTATTGAAAAATGCATGGGCGCGAGCGCTCGTTTTTTAGCTTTGGTTGAGGGGATGGTCACATACTCATATTGTTCCACTGTTGTATTATGTATATATTTCTGAAAAGTAACGTATAATTAATATATTCCGTACCAATGTTTTGTAATCAAATTACATTAAAATTACTGCCGCAAAAATAACGTTGCAATGTCAAAAATTACTTAAAAGAGTAATTTTGGCAAGTAACGGATTACAAAAAATCCGTTACTTGTAACGGGTTTCTTCCCAAGTCTGGTCCCAGGTTTCTTCAAAAGTAAACAGAGGTTAAATGTTTCAAGAGAGAGATGCTCTTGAGGGTACATATTTCTAAAGAGTTGTCAGGTTATATAAATACTTTCCAGAGCACCACTGTGTTGGAATGGATATGGCCACTCTAAATTTCCTAAAAAAAGATACTGAAAAGTATATCCTGTGCAACAAACAACAAAAAAAGAGACTCACCCCAGTCATGGTGCTTATGGTAAGCTGAAGTGTGTCTAACTGCTTACTTTGGTTCACTTCTGTCCCTTTTTATAGGAAAGCTTCTGAGGGTAACTGCATCGCACAGAATGAGAAAGATTCAAATGACGTCAATCGTTTAAGTAAGAAAAATAAAAAATTGAGTGGCATGATCTCCGGTTGAATAAGGACCCCGCCCTAACCTTGAGTATAAATGTTGTATATTCTCGGTTCAGTCTTGCACCAAATGAACTGAACCTCGAGCGCTTTAAAAAGACGTGACACGCACTAAAAGAAAGTTTCCGTGCAAGCGATGTCTAGAGGCGAATGCCATTTTTATTGTGCGGAGCACGGGATACGAATGGCAGTACAATCTTGACTTTCCATCGCCACACTTCAGGAATTTAATCAAGTTGTTCTGAAGTATTTCTAATTTCCTTTGCATTGTTTTTATTTTTTTATTTTGGAGAAATGTTTTAAGCTAGGAAGCACCTAATTTTTCTACCCCTTTGATTAGCCATTGTTTAAATCACTTTTAAAAACTTGGCACAGAGTTTTATGGAGATGTCGAAGGAAATTTTTTGTTCCCAATTTATGCTTCCGAAGTAGCATATATTTCACTAGTTGGTGAGCTCATTGTGTCGCGTCAATACGGTTTCTTCATCAAGCTTTTCAAAATTTTCTACATAAATAAGAAGTATGGTGAATACAACTTTTATTACAGAACGTTGTGTGCTAGCTATCTTTATATAATCATGTCTCGTTTATACGCTGCAGCCAACACTACAATTCGATGGAGTCTATTGTTAAGCACCAAAAGTGCATCGTCCCGGCGCTCGTGGTTTTTTTTTTGCGTTTGATATCTCAAGCTAAACCAATAACACGTAGTTAATGCGCCATGATTTTGCGCTATTTACAGCGGCAGCTATTATGGACCCGTCCATCCGGTTTTCGCGACGGCGTGGGTGCCGACGGCTTCACTTTCCCCGCTAAATGTAAGGGGAAAATTTGACGTCAACGTGACTTATGCATTAATTCAGTTTGCCCGCTATAGTGGCCGTTGGCGCGAAAATTCATTTTACGCTACCTGACGTCACGGGCACTACACAGACAAATACGTGTTCCCCGCTAAATCTAGCGGAAAAAAATACGCCATGTATCCGATGCAGCAATTCAGATGCTAAGTTTGGAGGGAAAAATGACGGCAAGTGACCTGACGTCGCGGGGCCTACAGACAAATTGAAGATCCCCGCTAAATTTAGCGTAAATATTTGCGTCACTTAACCCATGCACTACTTAGGTTTCCCCGCTAAATGTAGCGGAAAAATCGACGTCACGTGACCTATGCACCAATATTGTTTTCCCACTAAATTCGGCTGGAAAATCGATGTCGCGTGACCTAACGTCACGGGACCTAGAGATAAAAATAGCCTCTCCACATCGGAGATCTTTACCGGGTGTACACCTCAGAGGCGGTAGCCGCGGGTGGTCTTCAAAACGCCGAAAATCAAAATGCCGAATTATCGGAATGCCGAAATTAAAACACCGAGAATAAAAAAACCCGGAAAAACAAAAAGCCGAAAATTCAAAAAGCCGAAAATTCAAAAAATTGAAGCATCGAAACATTAAAATGCTGGCATTAGCATTAGGAAGGGGGAGATAGCGTATCTTGGCAAGAAAAAGTTTCTTGGCAATGTGATCAAAGTTAGACGAGAGCTTCCGCCGGCCGATGTGCAAGCGTTTTTGTCCTCTTTTCTAATAGCCATGAAAGGTTAACCCCGAGTATAGCTTCCTTTTACACGATGCAAGCCTTGGTAGGGCGATTCCCGGTTTATTGGAGTTCAGAGAGATAAGTTGTGCGCAATTCCTCGAATAAAGCTTAGAACGTCTTCATTATCCCGGTTGCCCATAGCAGCTGCCAAACGATTTTCGCGCAACTTTTGCTTCTTGCTTTGTGAGAGGCGGGATTTGCCTCTCATCGCTCCCTCGATGTTGCATTCGACTCTAGCTTGCTCCTTTTTTATGATGGTGATGAGCCGGAAGAAGCTTACGAGGTGTCCGCCAACCAATATCTCCGATTCTCGGTGCCATGCCCCAACGGCGTTATTGACCCTTGGAAACCCGTTCTGAGCAAGGGCAAGCACATTCCAGTTGGATGGCGGGAATACCGGTGGACTTCGTATGACAACGGCAGTGTTACCTCCGGCAACACGGCGGCTTGATTTCCCAAAGGTGGTTGTCCTCCTACCATCGCAGCAGTTCAAAGGCCTCTTGCGGGAAGAGTGGTTTGAAGGGCGCATAGGCATGTCGTACTTCTTCGGCGGGCAGGAACGAAAGGGCTGCAAGCTGCCTCACATTGATGGCGAAGCCATGTACATCATTTTTATATAGCCCTGCCAGTCTTAGTGGCTGCACTCTCCTTCATACTGATTGACACAAGTAGAACAGACAACCATACACAACCGACGACGGGAGCAACGACCGAATAGCGTTGGTTGCTGCCAGTTCGGAGCCTATACTCACAGTTTTGGGATTTAGTTCATGAGCCACATCGGAGCGTGGTTCAGTTCCCTCAAGTTTTCGTTCGTGAAGAAAATTAGGAGTCAAGCCTCATCTGCGCTTGTGCAGTCGCACCGCAGAAACTCCCGGCCGTCTAAAGTTGTTCTGAACTCGCCCTGGATGATGAGCTCCTGCACGGAAGATGGCTCGTGCGGGCAGTCCGCTTTGCTCTCCCTTATCACAATCTGGCGCAAGGCTTCATTGCTTGGAAGGTGCTGCCTTGAAGACGCTCCTACATCTGCCATGAAATGCTGCACAATCTTCACGGGTGCTTTGCCCGAGGCCTCCGCCAAAGCTTTGACCCGTTCTTGAGTACGGAGAACTGTAACTCTGCAGATATCGGGAGCATGGCTTGTGTTGGTCACTGTCATCGGGATCTTGTGAGTACCTTCTACAGAAAGGTCGGTAGTCACTCTAGCGTGGCATCCGCCTTGCTTCTCGCACCACCAAAAGTGTCTAGAACCTACTTTCTTGTCACGCACGTAGAAATAACCGTCTTTGCAGCTACGTTTTGCTTTTTCCTTCTGAGGGCACGGCACAACCACGTCTTCGTCCATTTCCCTCTGAATCAATGAAATTATTACTGCCGCACATTGCTGCTGCTCTTGTACTCTGAACACTGGGCAGCGCTGTCTCTTTCTGCTGACCAATAAGAGCTCTTCTGCCCGACTGACATGCCTAGCTTTACGACAGATAGAAAAATACGAAAAACCGATACTGGTGCTTTTGCAGAACGAGTTAAACAGGCTCGTGTCATTGGAAAGTGATCTAACGGAAAACAAAGAAGTGGTAGCCACAAAGCGCGTCATTTCTTTTTTACGTAGTTTTCGGCGTTATGTCTTTTCGGCCTTTTGATTATTCGACATCTTGATTTTTCGGCATTTCAATTTTTAAGCATTTCAATTTTTGGGTGTACTGACGTTCGGGTGTGATAATAGGGAGTTACGAAACCTCCCTATTATCACACCACATCAGCTATAGTTTGAGTTATAGTGGAAAAGAGGGATGAGGTGAAAGCGGCCGCGGCAAACCGCGACGCGTCTTAAGTTGTGAACAGTGACTGCATACGTAAGTCAATTGCAAGTAAAAAATGGGCGTGCGTAGATCCGCGGTGACAGTCCCACCCCTGACCAGCATTGGCCTTGCGTGCACGTAGAGCCACTCAGCTTTCTTGTCATCTGTAGCATCAGGTGGCGTGTTCGGCGGTGAAGAGGAGACAAGAAACAATTGCAGCTTGCGACGCGGAACCTAAACTTCAGTATTTGTTTTCTCGCGCTAGAAACAAATTATCTTGATTAAACTTACAGAAATAAAAGGCAATACAATATTTTTCTCAACTCATTTTTATGTGGTTTTGATTTGAATACCTCATGATAGAATAAACGGCTCGTTAAGCAGCCAAACAGGCTTTTCTAAGAACTTTAGAGATTTGATTTTAACTAAAGGATTTTGTTATACGACTTAAACCATTTTTCATAGTAATACATTTACAGGTTTTCAAGTAGAAAAATGTATAATTCTCAGCCACGAAGCAATAATAAAATGACAAATTCAGGGGAATGTGAATATTAATGCCTTTGATATTTTTTTCAGAATTATTTTAACAATGAAATTTGTATCATCACAACATAAAAGCTTAATGTCGTTCAAATTACATTAAAAAAAACACTATGAAGTGTTTGGAGCATTTTGATTTTAATTAAATTATTGAATGATGCCTAATTTGTTTGCTCATTTTAACAATTCGAACCACGCTCATGCCATAAAACAAGAACAAGTATTTGGTTAAAATATTTTAGGAAAAGGCTAAAGACCTTGGGATCAAAAAATTTCAAATTTGGGGATTTTTAAGTGCCAAACCAAGGACGGGCATCTGGCACGCCCCAGAGGAGGACTAAGGATTAATTTCGACCCCTGGGGATCTTTTGACGTGCAACCGAAAGCTCGGTTACACGGCGTCTTCTCCGCAGTAAGCCTCCGTCAGATTGCGGTCACCTCGGCCGGGATTCGAACCCGCCACATGGGGATAAAGACCTTGGGGTAAAAAGCCACTGTTCTTGTTTTCAGCATCGGAAATGATCGAGCTTGACGTATGGGACGTTTGACATGGAATAACCAACATATATTTATTTATTCATGTCTCATTTCTATGCCATTATATTGGCCACCAAACTCCGTTTCCCTCTACGTCCGACTGCAGCTAAGGCCACGATCCGAGGGTGTCAATCATGCAGCACCAAATGTGCATCTTTACGACGCTCGTCGTCTTTGTACATTTGATACTTGCGGCTAGACCACAGTGGGCTAGACCAATCATGCACGGTCCCCATATGATTCTGCGCTTTTTTATACACTTGCTTGCTGAAGTCGCTGATTGCAAACACACAGATATGGCCAGCGACGTGACGATCACCTTTGGCACTTCTCGATTTATTCCAACGAATCGGAGCGTC